TGCGAGCAGCTGCCCCGGCAGCCGCCTGCCCACGGGCTCTGCTCTCAAGGGTGACGGCCACCCACGCGCCCGCACCTCCCATCCCTCTGCCCCTGCACGGGTTGGGGACACGGAGAAATGGCAACCTGTGCCCCGTGACGCCTGGCTATCAGAGCCATCCTTTTTCCTTTCGATGCTTTATCCAGAAAACTTGACATCCCAAGAATCGGATAAAGACGCTCTTTGACACCTTCTGGGAGCAAATTTACCCTGAGAAACCTCGGCGTGGCCCCAGAGTGAGAAGCATCTGCAAGACCTGGTTTGTGCTGCCTCCTAGGGCCACCCAAGTAAAACCTCTCTTACGTACTCCCCAAATCTGCTTCCCAAAGAGCAATTCCTATTCTACCGCTCCTATGGCAAAAGCAGGATCTGACCAAATGCCGCAGCCAGACAGGCGAAGCTGCAGGCTCAAGCCCCCATAAATAACAGCTGAGCTCCAACTCTTCTGCACCCCAGTGCATTTTACAGAGCAGCCACCTTTCTCTGATTTTACGCAGCCCATGAGCATCCCAACACACCCACCCCACACCCCCCAACATTGAGGCTGCAGCCCCAGGCCACCACCCTCCCTTGCACCGCAGGTCGGGTGTGTTTGGGTTGCAGCGTCCCACGGGGTGAAAGTCTCCCAAACCACTCGAATGGCCCAGTTCTGTCGGCTGCAGCAACAGAAAGCTGGCTTCACATAAAACCCCATTTGCCAAAAAGCTCTCAAATGTCAAACTTTGATGCAAGCGCAGCCCAGCCGTCATTTTTTGCAGTTGGCCTCGGGCTGCTGTGCAACAGGGACATGGGCTGGAGCCTCCCACACAGAGCTGGCTCCAGCCTGACGTACCACCACACCTCCCCTCGCCCGGAGGTGACAGGAGCTGCAGGGACGTCACAGCTCTAATCCCCACTTTGATAAGTCTCCTGACAGACAGACAAGTCACTTGACTGCCTTGTGCCTTAGTGAAACCCTGCCAGAAATTGCAAGTGAAAAAAACCAGAGCTTTTTTGTGCGAGGAATGAGAGGAGAGATATCTACACTGGCTTCCTGCTCAAGCTGAACTAGATGGGATGCAATATGGGAAAGAGGAGTCCGTCCCAAGCCGGTGTCCTGGCAAGGCAGGATGGGGACCTCCTGGGGACCACAGCATGGGGAGGACCAGCACCCTCTCCAGCAAAGCTCATGCTGATCCAGACCTCTGGCCAGGCTTCCTTCCCAATCCCTAGCTCAGGCAGCTCCTGGGAACCCACCCTGGAGCCAGCTGCCTCCTTACGGCACAGGGTGAGTTATTTCAGCCCCTGCCTTCTCTCGGGCAGCGCATCATGTTGAAAACATGCTCTGAGACCCCTCCGGAGGAAGGGGGCCATCAAGGCCCGTCCTGCTCCGTGCCTCCCCTCTGCAGCCTATTAATAGGAGAATTTTTTGGGATCATCTTCCCGGCCCAGCAGCTGCTGACATTTGGAGCCTGTCTGATTTGAGGCACCCAGGAACTATGCGGCTGGGTTTGGCATGGCCACGGCTGACCTTTATCCCAGCTCTGCTCTGCAGGGGACAGGAATCTCCCAAGCACCCCCAAAATTCCTTCTTTCCAAGCCAGCCCCAAGTGAGCTGCCTTTCCCGTGCAAGGCTGTGAGCTGCGTTTCATGACGGTGTGAGCTTGCCTTGCAGCACTCCTCCAGCTCAGGCTTGCAACCCTTGACTTCCCTCAATTGCTGCTATACTCATACGTTGCCTCCCTCGTCATAGAGCCCTGACCCATAATCCACAGGCGAAGTCCTAAAGCCCCCTTAAGCATCAAATTTCCCATTGGTTTCACAAGGGATGGCTGGGGGTTACTGGTCTGAGCAACTTGCTCAAGGTCACCCAGAAGCCAGCAGGAGGGCAGGGACTTTCCTCTGGCCAGAACTCTCCAGCCCATCATTTCTTTAGAAGACTAAAGCTGGGGTAGCTTTTTCTCCAAAAAACCAGTGTCAGAGTAACAATTGCTACTGGCAGCCTGCCAGCCAAGAAGCCCCCACCCTTCTTCAAGCTCTTCTTTCTCCCCTGCTGTCATATGAAATAATGGCAAGGGCCCACCCAGAGCACCCTGCCTTTGTGTCCCCACCATCCCCATCTCTGATGCACAGACGGAGAAATCTTGTAAAAATCAACTGGAGAAAGACCAAACCCAAATGGATGCTCTAGGAAACCATCATTTTGGCATGGGAAACCTGGTATCTCCCCAAGCAAAAGGCACCTTAAGAAGTGAGATCCCAGCACTGGAACCAGAGGTGTGGCCACCACAGTGGCATACGGCACCGATGGGAAACAGCACCCGACACCCAACACGTGGGAGCCCAACTGCGTGGCTGGAGCTGTTACAAGCCTGCGATTAGATCATGTTATTTCCTTCAGAAAACAATGCCCTAAAACCACACATGATACTCCTGCTGAGAGTGACAATTGCTGTAGATGGCTCTAATGTCACCACGGGTCTGACGATACGAAACCTTCAAATCACATTCCAGAAGCAAAGCCATCGTCACTTGAAGATGCTCATGTTTAGCCACTGGGGTGTCTGGCCACGGTACAGCAACCAGCGTGCCCATGAAGAGCGCGCCCATTCATCCTGGCTCAGCGCAATCAGAGCTACGTGACAAACACATCTATGCTGGCAACGCGGGCCATTACGCACAATGGGTGCATGAAATGTGCCTGCGGTTTTCAGAGCACGGAGGTCAGCTTCAGCTTGGATCAGGATAGTCGGGATGGGGGGAACAGTCTAACACAACGCACACACTTACATTGGGAGAGGGCTCCAGCATGTTGTCTCCATGCCAGCCTGAGATGGGCACGAAGGGAACTGTGGCTGGGTTGTAGCCAATCTTCTTGATGTAGGCGCTGACCTCCTTGACGATCTCATCGTAGCGTTTCTCGCTGTACGGGGGCTCTGTGGAATCCATCTTGTTGATGCCCACAATGAGCTGCTTCACTCCCAGGGTGTAAGCCAGCAGGGCGTGCTCACGAGTCTGCCCATTCTTGGAGATACCGGCTTCAAATTCACCAACGCCGGCAGCAACAATCAGGACAGCGCAGTCAGCCTGGTAGGAGAGAGCTAATGAATTGCTTCTGTCCCCAGAAAGCACTGCTCCTGGTGACAGCCCTGAGAGCCTCGAGTAAGTCCCGGATGAACACTACTCATGGCTTGGAGAGACTTCCTGCCAGTTACTACCCCTAACCCTGCTGATCGACCTCAGAACTGACCTAACTGTGTTATTTCAGACTTGCCAACTGTGCATGATTTTGCAACGTGGGTTGGAAACCAGGGTGGGTCCCTCCAGGTTGCATAACTCTAACCAGGACCTCGTCTTGATCATCCAGGGATGTACAGCCAAGGCCTTATCTAAAACCCTACTGAAGTCTCGCAGATAATCTCCCTGGGTGATGGATGAGACTACAGCCATGCAAACTGTGTTCCCTGGCTTACTTCTGTACCCAGAGCCCAGAGCAGAAGCTGCTTGGGTTTGACGGAAAGCCGTACCCGGCCCAACTGGCATCGCAAGGGGAAACCACCCTACCCTGGAAGGGTAGACCATGGAGTTTGGCAATGTGATGTGGTTTATGGGACAAAGACAGCTGTTTCAAGAAAAAGGAAGGAGAAAAGACCCATGGAGTCTCCTTTAGCCAATAAAACCTAAGGGATTGTTGGAAGTTTCTTGTATAGCTCAGTTGGCTGAGTCTAAAATAATGTGGGAGACGCCCTCACACAAAGGCCTGTAGGTCATAGCATCCCACCTCCCAGAGAGGCCATGTTTGTCCTCACCTCCTCCAAGTAGGGGAAAAGGGGTGGAGAAACCACCTCTCTCTGTGCCCAAGGAGGCCCTTTCTCCCAGATGCCCAGGGAGGTGCAGGACCACGGCGAGCTGGGTCCCCTGGTCCTACCCAGCCTCTTGCATGGACCCTGCTCAACACCACTTGATGTCTGCTGTCTCAACTACCCATCTCCAAAAGGACTCCAACAGCACCTACGTGACCCTGGGCTCATCAGCAAGCCTCAGCCTCCCACCTCTGGCAGCCCCCCACCCCCCGGCCACCATTTCTCACCTGGGAGGTCCCGGTGATCATGTTCTTGATGAAGTCCCTGTGGCCGGGTGCGTCAATGATAGTGATGTAGTACTTCGTGGTCTCAAACTTCCACAGCGAGATGTCAATGGTGATGCCACGCTCACGCTCGGCCTTCAGCTTGTCCAGCACCCAGGCGTATTTGAAGGACCCCTTCCCCATCTGGCCGACACAAAGGCAAGAGCTGGTGAGAAACCCAAGCCCACAGCACTGGTGCCGACAACCCACCCTCCAGGGCACATCCCAAGCTCACGTAGGCAGAGGGTCACGTTGCAAACATTGAAGGCAAAATTCCCTAAATCCAATGGCAATGATCTATTTACCAATAAATACATGAAAGGAGATATTGCTCTCAAGGCATTCCTCAACAGGATGGAGGAGAGCCTGGAAGAAGAGCTGTGAAGTGGATTTGTGAGTGGATGGGGAGGAGCTGGAGCCAGTGACTCATGAGGTCTCCTCCATGAAACGCCACGGTCCCGCACTGCTGCTGGGAAATCACGGTGCTACAGGATTACACAGCAACGGTGGAAAGCTTCTTATTGTTGCATTTTAATCTATTAACCGAACCTGTGAGACAGCTGGTTAGTGGGAAAGGGCATTGCTGTATGAGTGAGCCCATAACTGACGGGGGTGTAGGAGGGGAATGGGTTAAAAGAAAATGAAACGCAAGATGGTTGCTATGAGCAGAATAGAAACGTGATTGATTTTTGCCACAGAGTGTGAGAATTCACATGAAAAGCTACTGTGAGCTGCAGCCAGACCAACTGTTGTTGCCAAATGGCCAAAATCTCAGCCAACATTGTAATGCATAAAATCATGCTAGGTGAGATTAGCTACAGTAAATCCCTCTGTCCTGTGATAAAGCACATTCCTTGGTAAAACCATGATGTCACTTCTGATCCGCTTTCTCCTTTGGGTCGGCGTCCTTTGATGTCATGCCATCAGGGAGAGCTGGACTTACCCCCCGGCACGGAGGTGGTGCTCCCAGCCTGAGCTGGGATCCTGCCAACGTGGAGATGGGGCAGGACAAGACCACCCCTTGCTGACCACACTGTGTGCCGGGGCAGTCTGGGGAGCCTGGCCAAAGCAAAGGGTTAATGGGCATTAATCGTTAGCTCTTGGCCGCAGAGGCAAGGTTTTGTTTAAGACGGAAAATGGAATTTAGGTCATTTGCGGATGATTTAATGGGCTCTAACCACTGTGCAAGGACAGAGCTGTGATACCCTGCTCCTATCCATCCATCCTGAAACCACCACGGTTTCTTCTGGAGTATCAATGCATGAAATTCATTATGGCCAATTATAAATCACTGGTCCAGAGGGAAGCGCTTCCTGATCGCAGGCAGCGAACGCTTCAGTGATGGTCCTCGCCAAGAAGGCTAACGCAGCAGCACATCTGAACCTGTCCTGCCCGCGCCGTGCCCGGGGGCTGGTCCGCCCCTGGCTCCCGCGCTCCAGCCCACATACCAGCCCATTTATGCAACAGTGGAGCGCTGCGATGACTTTGCGGCTTGCTCTGGAGGATTACGGGCAAAATCCTGAAGCCAGGGGCAAGCCTCCCCCTCCTCGGAGGGGACACCCGGTCAAAAGGGTGATGCCCCATCCCCGCTGGGCAGCTGGGAGCTCTCGCGCCCACAGGAAGGGCAGTTGGGGGGGTGGAAAAATCCAGAATCAAATCTTGGCTCCTAAACATCCTCCTGGCATCGGGTTTAGTGAGGGGACAGAGCAGGAGCTCAGAGGTTAACTCTTTCCAGCATGCACATCGAACCCTTCTCTTGCCAGGAGAAAAGGGGTCGTTAGAGCGTGCTCATTTACTGCTGGAAATGGCGGAGACACACCGAGGAACGGTGCATTTTGTGCAATGCATTAATAATGGGTAGTTCTCGGGCAGGAGCTCAATCAGCACATCCCACAGCCTTTCACCCATCGGCAACCTATTCCTTCACTTCTGGACGGGGAAACTGGGGCACGGAGCAGACCCCTGGCTCTCCACGGGAGCTGAGTGGGAATCAGCACCTTATCGCAGGCACCCACGACCACGCACACAAACAGCCGGTCATCTCCTGTGAAACCCCCCCGGAACCCGGCATCATATGTAACTTGAAGACAAATGAGATCCTTTATTTAGCAAACAGTTTCCCTCCTTTCACGGGGTATATTCAGTTACCCAGAGCTGTTGTTGGGAAAAAAAAAAGCCAGGGTATTATCTAGCTTTGCACAATACCTTCCCTGTTCAGCCAGAAACAGCCTGATTTTCCTTGATCAAACCCCAGCGGAGGGACAGCTTTGTATTTGGAGACAACAAATACTGATTTTTTTTTTAAAATAGAACAACTCTTCTTTCGGAGATACTGTTACCTCTGCCCCCGAGTCAAAAAGAAAAAATAATCCTTTCTCTTTTCTCTTAAAAACAGTATCAGACCTTGGGTTTTTTTGTTGGCTTTTTGGGTGCACGCAGGCCTCCATTTCCTGCGAATGCCACCTAATGGAAGAAAACCCTTCCCCAGCCCTGCATCAGAAAATGGAGTCTGTAAGCTCAGTCAATAGGCTATTAATAGCAGCTTCCAGTCCCTGCGTATTCTGGCAAGTCAGTGAAAGTGTCTGTTCAATTAAAATAGCTGCAATCACATCTACAATAACCTAATCACGCCATAGCCGATCTGTAGGTAAAGGGGGGAAATATATAGGGGGATATCAGCGATTATTTTAAACCGGGGGGGAGATCATTTTGTACAAGGAAGAAGCTCTTTGCTTAAGGGCTGGAAAAAAGGGCTGCCAGAGAGGCAGGAAAATGGGTGGTTTAGCTTGGATGCTATCGGCAAATTCAAAGGGTTAAGACAGACAGACAGCAAAACATCTAATCAAGATTTTAACCTTTTTTTTTTTTTTTTTTTTCATTGAAATGTGGGATCTTGTCCAGAAAAAGAAAAAAAAAAAGAAAAAAAAAAATCGAGGGATATCTGCATTAAAGATTCCTGGAACGATGATGACAAGCCATCTTTTGAGAGCCCAGATATGCCCTATCAGTAACACAGCCAGGCTTTTCCTGGCTCACCCACCTCTCTAGAATTTACCATCATTAATTTCTGAGAGCTTCCAATTCATGTTTTTCTTCCCAAGACTATTTCCTCCACTTTAATCTCTGTGTTTGCCACATTATAGGTTTTGGGTGGTGCTGTACTGTGTGACAGCCAGCTAAATGCATGCACTATTATATTGCTACAACTGTCACCATTGTAAGAGCTAAACAAAAGGATTTCACTTAAATGCTCGTACTTCACGCCAGTTTTTCTATATTAAAGGCTACCCATCAAGCTACGCATCAGGCCATATGCTTGAGAAAAATGAGCCTGGGGTTTTTAACAAACTGGATCAAATGAGCGGTCCAGCTGATGCTGCACCTTGTCCCCGGCAGGCACTGGAAGTAGATGCTTCAGAGTGAAATTCAGAGTGTCCTGCACTAGGCAGGTTTTTCTCCTCACGCACAATATTTAGAAGGAATTTCATGCCCTGAAGCACCATGGTTTGTGGCTCTTCCAGAATCCTGGCGATTACCGCTGGTTCCCTAACCCATCTTGCAGACCTCGCCATGCCCCTGCCCTCATTAACAGCCCGCGGCGGGGAGTCCCCCAGCTCCGGAGAAGAGGGTGGCGAGCGCCCAAATGGCCTATTTTCCCAAGGCCAGCGAAGTCGGGAAGACCCGGAGGTGCAAGAGGGAAAAAAATAGATGGGAACAAAGGGAGAAAGAGAAGGTACGAGAAGGGCAGCGCCAGGAAAAGGGGAATATTGCCTGTGGGACACTTGTGGGGCATCAGTGTGGAGCATATCCCTGCGGGTGGGAGTGTGGGGTGGGGGGCACGCTGAGGGACGGGCTCCTCACCTCGGCAGCCTCCTTCTCAAATTTCTCAATGGTCCTTTTGTCAATGCCCCCGCATTTGTAGATGAGGTGCCCGGTGGTGGTGGATTTCCCAGAGTCCACATGCCCAATGACGACGATGTTGATATGCGTCTTCTCCTTCCCCATGCTGGTGGGCTACGCGGGGCTGGCCGGGGCGGGCGGTGGCGGGGAGGGCTGTGGGAACGCAGTTGCGTTTTTGGGGAGGCTGCGGGGAAGAAGCAGTCGCGTCAAAAGATC